GAGAGAGAGAGAGAGAGAGAGAGAGAGAGAGAGAGAAAGAGAGAGAGAGAGAGAGAGAGAGATTTGTGGCTGTGTGTATGACAGAGAGAAAGAGACCAAGAAAGCATGAGAGAGAGATCAATGTAGACAGATAATGTTAGTCAGACAGACAGACTGACAGACAGATACACAGACAAATAAACAGACACACAGACAGACACAAAGATGTATAATATTCTCTGATTATATTCCAACTTGAACAAGTATTGCATAATAAAACTAATAAAAACTAGATATCAGTATTTGTCTCTGATTACACCTTTATCTTGTTGTCTGGTCTACAGTGCTGATTGTCATGCTGTCAGTCATTAGTGGTATCTCAGCTGTGCTGTTCATCATATTAATCGTTGTATGTGTGAGGTGAGTTCATTCAGGTTACATACAACTAATCAGATTGAACCAGAAGATAATATTCGACCTTGTCACATAAAGATATTAACCCTTTGAGTCCTGAACTCCGGAAGCTTCCATGCCCTTCTGTATGAGTTCCTGAGCCTATATCACTCTCACATTTATACCATCATCAGAATCACATTCCATTAGTCCTTGTTATGACCAGCTTCTAATTCAGAAAGATCTTCAAAATTGTCATATATAAGCGTCCTGTGCAGCAAACACTGTTTTCCATATGCATTTTGTCCCAGGATGTTGCTCACTAGTGTACCAGTGGCAAGGCATATAGGTAATATTTTGTGCCACAGATGTACCAATGGCTAGGGCTCAAAGGGTTGAAAACCGAAAACATTGATTGCGAAGGCTTGTTGTTACTTATTGGTCTTCATCTTCTACTTGCGCCCATTACACAGAGATGTCACCCTAAACGAAATAAAACATAAATCCTTGCCCCTTGCTTCCCCCAAAATGAATGGGCAAATGAAGAGATAACAAAAGACAAACATTTTTAAAAAGAAATATAATTTCAGTTTCCAAGGACTCTCAAACTACGGGAGTTACCAAACTTTGGCAACCATTTTCTCGCTAATACTACCTCTGAAACCAGATGACCCTCCCCTCCTTCAATCGCAATATGTCTTGACTTCTTTTCAAGAGAGATAGGTATTTTTTAAAGATTGAAAGCAAGACGAATGAAGAAGCTTTAAGATGATACAAATAACCCTACATGTTTAATTGACGAGCACCTGATTCCACTCTGTCAAGACATCTATATATAATATATGAGAAGCATCTTGGTGAAATCATGCGCTCGTCAAAATCATGAAATCAGAGAATCCGGTATTTTTCTGTGTTTGGCAATTTTAAAAAAAATTTACTTTTTTGGGCTCAACACCTTTTACATCCATTTAAAAACACATTTGTGTGTGGATTTTACTGAAAATCATTGATCAAAAGCACAAAAAATGTAAATTTTCAGTTTCCAAGGATACTCAAGCTTTAGTAGTCACCAAACTTTGGCGGCCATTTTCTCACTAATTTTACCTCTGACCCCTGTCTCCTTAAATTGAAAGTATATCGACTTCTGTTCAAAATGCTCCTGTATTTTTTTCGCCAAATGCAAACAAAAGAACACTCTTTAAGATGATACAAATAACTCCATGTGCCCAAAAATTGACGAGCGTCTGATTCCACCATGTCGTGACACATGTATTGTTATCATCTTAAATAATTAATATCGATTCTTCTTAGTATTTATCTCTTTATGTGAAATACTCTCACAACAACCTCCTCCCCCT